TCTAAAACTGTCAGGATACAGCCTATTGGCTACTGTCTAAAACTGTAAAGGTACAGCCTATTGGCTACTGTCTAAAACTGTCAGGATACAGCCTATTGGCTACTGTCTAAAACTGTAAGGATACAGCCTATTGGCTACTGTCTAAAACTGTCAGGATACAGCCTATTGGCTACTGTCTAAAACTGTCAGGGTACAGCCTGTTGGCTACTGTCTAAAACTGTCAGGATACAGCCTATTGGCTACTGTCTAAAACTGTCAGGGTACAGCCTATTGGCTACTGTCTAAAACTGTAAAGGTACAGCCTATTGGCTACTGTCTAAAACTGTAAAGGTACAGCCTATTGGCTACTGTCTAAAACTGTCAGGGTACAGCCTGTTGGCTACTGTCTAAAACTGTCAGGATACAGCCTGTTGGCTACTGTCTAAAACTGTCAGGATACAGCCTGTTGGCTACTGTCTAAAACTGTCAGGATACAGCCTATTGGCTACTGTCTAAAACTGTCAGGGTACAGCCTGTTGGCTACTGTCTAAAACTGTCAGGGTACAGCCTGTTGGCTACTGTCTAAAACTGTCAGGATACAGCCTGTTGGCTACTGTCTAAAACTGTCAGGGTACAGCCTGTTGGCTACTGTCTAAAACTGTCAGGATACAGCCTGTTGGCTACTGTCTAAAACTGTCAGGGTACAGCCTGTTGGCTACTGTCTAAAACTGTCAGGGTACAGCCTATTGGCTACTGTCTAAAACTGTCAGGGTACAGCCTGTTGGCTACTGTCTAAAACTGTCAGGATACAGCCTGTTGGCTACTGTCTAAAACTGTCAGGGTACAGCCTGTTGGCTACTGTCTAAAACTGTCAGGGTACAGCCTATTGGCTACTGTCTAAAACTGTCAGGGTACAGCCTGTTGGCTACTGTCTAAAACTGTCAGGATACAGCCTGTTGGCTACTGTCTAAAACTGTCAGGGTACAGCCTCAGTGTTCACTGGAAATGCACACCGGAAGTTGCACAAAACGTTCAAGTTTCCGCTCACAAGACTTAACATTTGCTCAGGGCCCTAAAGAATTTGAGGGAACACTGGTGGTCACCGCAAATTATTATTGATAATACCCATAACTAAACTAAAACTTTATGCTTGACAAAAAAAACACTTATAAGATTCTGGCGTCAGGGCATAAAGGCTACTATGTTTCTGCAATGATGTCATTAGACGTCTTTGATGTGTTCGCCTTCCCATCTCCCGGGCACTGATAGGCTCCTTATCAGCTGTGAACAAACTGCCTGTATATGATTAGGTGTGGTGACGATTAGTGGGAAAATCCCCTGAACAGTCAGACATCTCCTTCTGCTATATCCCCTTCAGCCTGTGATAAGGGTTATAATGAAACCCACAATCAGTGATGTTCTCAACTACCAATAAAGTTTATTGAATAGTAATACATTTACAAGCTTCATAGACTTTGATGTATGTTTTAACGATGCCACAATATCTAGCACAATGTAGAAGAAGGGAAAAGGATTGTGTGTGTGTGTGTGTGTGTGTGTGTGTGTGTGTGTGTGTGTGTGTGTGTGTGTGTGTGTCTTTCTGGGTGACTGTGAAATCTGTGTCTCTATGTCAGCTGGTGAAACTGAATGGTAGAAGGGCAAACTGTCAAGGTCAGATAAAGCTGTGTTTTAGTCACCTGTCTTCCACTGACACTCTGGCCCTTGACCAAAACACATGTGGGTCAAAGCTTGCTGCTTTGCATGGGGTTGTGTCTGTCCACCAGCTAACTGATATACACAGCAGGAGGCTAGCGGCGGCTTGGTAAATGAGTAAGCCATTTGGATAAGCTGATTTGTAAATATGAATTACAATTATTTTAGATCTATTTTACCTTATGATCACTGGAGACAAAAGGCTCAACCCTGTTTTTTTTATTTTTATTATTCATGAATACTTTCCTAACTCAAAATAATCTACAAGATCAGAGTATTTTTTTTATCTATCAATTGGTGCTGAAAAGTAGATGAATATTTGTGTATTTACATGGCTTTCTGTCATTGATCCCTAATATTCTGAACCGTTCTCTCCATATATTCTAGTGAGTCTGTCGAGAAAACTCAAATTGAAAGTACACCAAATGTAAAGGGATGGCTTTAGATAAATGTACTGTAAACCCTATTGAATGAAAACTCCACCAGAAAACATGTTGGCCAGCACGTGGGAGGGTTCTTAGCGGTTGAATTAAATGTATTCAGCGGGCGTAAGCTAACCAGGCCTGCAAAGCCCGTTCGCAACTGCATAAGGTAAGTCTGAAAACCAACTACTGAGAAGTGCATAGGAAAGGTGTACATTTCCTGAGTCTGAATCAGCTCCTTACATACTCCTTTCACTTTGCACACCCAACAATCCCATTCCAATCCCACGTGACACTGGAAACCAATCACAGCCTTGTCAACTATAGCCCTGTCCAATCACAGCCTTGTCAACTCATCCCTGTCCAATCACAGCCTTGTCAACTAAGCCATGTCCCTTCCCATTTCTCTGTCAATCAGATTTACATCTGGTAGTATGTCTTCATGGTCCAATATGGGTTATTTTCACAAAGATAAAGATACAGTGCATTCTATTAGTTTAGCAGATTGTCTGATTCATTTAATCAGACCAGTGAAACCTTGTTTTTCCTATGCATCACTGGCATTCATAAGGGTGAATTCGAAATTGTGGAAACCCTCGATCACAGGCCTACTTTTAAATGAAGACAAAACGGATATTCTACATATACTTGACTATTCTGGATAGATTTTGGCTGACGTTGGTGTCCTGTAGGCAGAATATTTTTGTATATTTTTTTTATATTTTACTTTTACTTCACTACATTCCTAAAGGAAATAATGTACTTTTTACTACATACACTTTCCTTGACACCCAAAAGTACTCGTTACATTTTGAACGCTTAGCAGGACAGGAAAATAGTCAAATTCACGCACTTATCAAGAGAACATCCCTGGTCATCCCTACTGCCTCTGATCTGGCGGACTCACTAAACACACATGCTTCGTTTGTAAATGATGTCTTAGTGTTGGAGTGTGCCCCTGGCCTTCCGTAAATTAAAAAAACAAACAAGAAAATGGTGCCATCTGGTTTGCTTAATATAAGGAATTTGAAATGATTCATTCTTTTACTTGAACTTTTGATACTTAAGTATATTTAAGCAATGAAATGTATTTTGATTCTTAAGTATATTTTAAACCAAATAATTTCAGACTTTTACTCAAGTAGTATTTTACTGGGTGACATTTACTTTTACTTGAGTCATTTTCTATTAAGGTATCTTTACTTTTACTCACGTATGGCCGTTGGGTACTTTTTTCCACCACTGGCTAATGTTACATTTACATTTACATTTTAGTCATTTAGCAGACGCTCTTATCCAGAGCGACTTACAGTAGTAGTCTACATTAAGATGTTAAGATAAAGTTTAACCTTAATATGAATTCTTAACAAGATTTTCGATTCATATGTTTGTGGTTTGTACTCTTGTAGTAATAGAAGATATAATGCAAGGTATGCTATAGGCCTATTCTAATTCATAATATGAAAAATATATATAAATACAGAGATGATATAGCATATCTAGCATATCTATAGGAAGTTGTAGTCTACATTTCTGATACTATTCTCCATATAATTATGTTATATTCATCTTAAATTCGATGCAAAGATTCAACCATTTTAATGCCAACCACATTTATATTTGGTGAACGAAAGGCCTAATTACATTTTCACTTTCATTTTTAAAAGGTGTGGATGGTCATGACTGAAATTGCTAACTTTGTCTTATGCACCCAACAAAGTCAAAAAATTGAATCAACAAAATATTTCAGGTTAATTATTATTTTTGGTATAAAGATAATTCATTGTTTATATCACTGGATATTAGGCTAATTCTTCCTCTTGACGACAGAATTTGTAACCATGTCAATCGAAATGCATTATTAATTTTTTATTAAAAAATGGGAAGGCCTAGAATGTATCAAAATATGAATGGAAATGGACAGCGGGAATGCCTAATGCTGGTTCAGAATCTAAATGATATAAGCCTTTCTCTCACTGCATGGGCTCGGAGTCTTCCAATCCCAGGCTGCTGCTTCTTAGAAAGGTGATCAATTTGAAAATGATCATTCATCCTACGGTATTGTTGACTAAATACAGTATAATAAAACAAATGTCCTTAAATACATTTCCAAAACGATAGGTTAAATTTGAGCTTCATCTTTCTCCATTGGGTTATTTGTATTGTGTTAATAAGTGCATTGTGATATTTTCTATTATGGAAAGAAATCACTGTGATGTCACGGATGGAAGACTATGTTTGTTTTTTTACTATAACTATTTGTTTTATTTCCTATGTAGGCCTAATAAATACTTTTCCAGCTATCAGCCCGATCCTATGATATAAAGCACATGTCAAACTCATTCCACAGAGGGCCGAGTGTCTGCGGGTTTTCGCTCCACCCTTGTACTTGATGGATGAATTAAGGACTAACTAGTAAGGAACACCCCACACCTGGTTGTCTAGGTCTTAACTGAAAGACACTCCGCCTTCCTTGGAATAAGTTTGACACCTGCTATAAAGTGTATTTTTCTGCACCTGCCCATGCTGTGTTATACAGGCAGCCCAATTCTGATCTTTTGCCTGATCTGATTGGTCAAAAGACCAATTAGTGGAAGAAGAATCAGAGCTGCCTGTAAACGCAACGTGTGCCCGGTGCGGTCAGGAGTGCTGAGTGGCGAGCTCGTGTGCAGTAGAATGGGTGAATGGGAAAGTAATTAGCTAGCTAATTAGAAAGCTGTCTGGGGTTTTGACCAATGATTTGCTGTGACCCCCGCGTGCACGCTAAGATGAGCCAATCAGAGGCCGGTTTGAGGAGGTTCAACGGAGTTGGGACGTTCCGAGGATCCCTTTTAATCATTTACGAGGTTCAATTGCAGAGCTTTGTAAGAAAAGTTGCCAATTGCAGGAGGAGACGTTTTGCACAGGAAGCAGAGGAGCGCACCGCACAGCACCGCACGGCAGGAGAAATTATAACAAAAGGGAAAAAGGATATTGTGAAGAAAGTGATAACGTAACGTTTTATTATTATTTATTTAGAAAAACTGAAACATTAGGCAAACAGCAGTGTTTTAAATCTATCTGGATGAGATGGTGTTTCGTTTCGCCTAAAACAACTCTAATCCAGCAATCATAACCCCGAATAATAATTTGAGTTGGTGTAAAGTCTCTGGAAAGGTATACAATGGCGAAATCTAAGAACTTTGGAATCGACGCGCTGTTGGCGCACCGGGTGGACCGAGACAGCTCCCCGGGACTGTGTTCTGAGGACAGCCCTGTCTCGTGCCGCCGGTCGGAGACCCCATCCCCGCGGAGGACCTCCAACGGTATCCACATTCAGACCGGAATTATCCCCAAACCGGGTCTAATGAATTTCGCTCACCAGGGACTGACCCAGCTGTCTCAGGGGGCCATCCATGGAATGTATCCCACACACATGTACCCCATCGCGGCCCTGGGGGGCCAGCATACAGCCTTCGCCTACCCCGGCTTCGCCCAGCCCTACCCGGAACACCTAAAGGCAGCATTTATGGCTGGGTTCCCGCTAGAACACTGGATTAGAGCTGGAATGATGATGCCAAGACTCGGGGACTATGGCGGTAAGTAGCCTTCAGGGGTCCCATTTGTATTTGTTTGAATATAATTGAAGTATCTGTCTCTATCACTGTTCATAGTAGTTATAATAATATGCCATTTAGCAGACGCTTTTATCCAAAGCGACTTACAGTCATGCGTGCATACATTTTTTGTGTATGGGTGGTCCCGGGGATCGAACCCACTACCTTGGCGTTACAAGCGCCGTGCTCTACCAGCTGAGCTACAGAGGACCACACTAACTAAAAGTTAGTGTGAAAATAAAATAGTTGTAAATAAGTTATTAAAACAGAATGTTGTCTCTGTTGGTAGCTTCGGTAGCTTTTCATTGAATTATTTGGCCCTTATAATATCGTTGAACAATGTGTCGAGTTTACTACATTGTAGGAGGACTCTTGAAATGGAATATTGTAAAATAAAAATATTGCTTAGATCTTGCGCTTTCTTTTCTGAATTATTTAAAATAATGGACTTGTAAATTAGTCGTTTTAAATGCAGATATTATCATGTTTTTATTTATTTTTTTACACAAAAATAAGCAGTCAAACACAAATTAAATAAGTTATCATTGCATCTTTCAGGTGATCTTGAGTGCCATTGGAACTGCAGCCTAGTTACTCCTGAACCATAATCATGTCTCTTTGTCTGTAATCATTTACCTTAGTCATAAATAACATTTTAATTAATAGGCGCCAAGTGTGAGATTGAACAACATACAATAAAGAAACACCTGACTAAGTCCACTTCGTCAACAAAAGCCATATCACCCTGTCCTCGGGTCAACTGTAAACCAAAGTCAAAATAAAACTGATATCATCAGAAAGGACAGCTTTTAAAGGTGAACATGTTTCTATCTCAGCCCCATCCCTTATAGAAGAGCATGAACGTGACATGTCAAAAAAAACACATGTACACATAAATGTGATATAAATAAACCATTGATTATTATCATTATAATTATTTTATAAATAATAACAATTATTATTATTAGTAGTAGTTGTTTTAACGTGTGATAATAACCTCTCTCATGGTCTCCCCTCCAGCCTCTCCTCCGGCAGGGCTGATGGGGAAGTGTCGTAGGCCCAGAACAGCCTTCACCAGCCAACAGCTACTACAGTTGGAGAACCAGTTCAAACTCAACAAATACCTGTCCAGACCCAAACGCTTTGAGGTGGCCACGTCTCTCATGCTCACAGAGACACAGGTGAGCGAGATGATCCCATAGAGATAGTCGGATAAATGTTGATTTAATGTCCTAAACTTTAGACTCACTAAAATGAGCTGCAGGTTGTTTGACTGACATGTTTATCCTTGTGTAACTGTCGTGTTCAGTTCTGACCTTGTGTAACTGTCGTGTTCAGTTCTGACCGTGTGTTCTGGTTCCGTTCAGGTGAAGATCTGGTTCCAGAACAGGCGTATGAAGTGGAAGCGTAGCCGCAAGGCCAAGGAGCAGGCAGCCAAGGGCCAAGGGGACTCAGACTGCCCACGTGGGGGGAAGCAGGGCAGCAATAGTGGGTCTGGAGACACCCGCAACTCTGGTACTCCGGACGATGAAGATCAGGAGGATCTGGAAGCAGGGGAAGATGTGTTAAGTGCTGGTACCTTAGGAGCTGGAGTAGTTTTAGCGTCTCACCCCACAGATTTCCTGAGGCACACTGCTACAGAGCTCAGCTATAGTTCTCATGGTTCCTACTCAGACAATGAACTAGAGGACAGTGGGCCTGGGCTGGAGAGAAGGGTTGGGGTGGGGTTATGAGGAGAGTGGGCCTGGGCTGCAGAGAAGGGTTGGGGTGGGGTTATGAGGAGAGTGGGCCTGGGCTGCAGAGAAGGGTTGGGGTGGGGTTATGAGGGGAGTGGGCCTGGGCTGCAGAGAAGGGTTGGGGTGGGGTTATGAGGAGAGTGGGGCTGGAGAGAAGGGTTGGGGTGGGGTTATGAGGAGAGTGGGCCTGGGCTGCAGAGAAGGGTTGGGGTGGGGTTATGAGGAGAGTGGGCCTGGGCTGCAGAGAAGGGTTGGGGTGGGGTTATGAGGAGAGTGGGGCTGAAGAGAAGGGTTGGGGTGGGGTTATGAGGAGAGTGGGGCTGGAGAGAAGGGTTGGGGTGGGGTTATGAGGAGAGTGGGATGGCATGGCTGTGTCCCAACGGGTACCCATGTCCATATATAATGTCATATACAGTGGGGAAAAATTGTCTTTAGTCAGCCACCAATTGTGCAAGTTCTCCCACTTAAAAAGATGAGAGAGGCCTGTACTTTTCATCATAGGTACATGTCAACTATGACAGACAAATTGGGGAAAAAAAATCCAGAAAATCACATTGTAGGATTTTTAATGAATTTATTTGCAAATTATGGTGGAAAATAAGTATTTGGTCACCTACAAACAAGCAAGATTTCTGGCTCTCACAGACCTGTAACTTCTTCTTTAAGAGGCTCCTCTGTCCTCCACTCGTTACCTGTATTAATGGCACCTGTTTGAACTTGTTATCAGTATAAAAGACACCTGTCCACAACCTCAAACAGTCACACTCCAAACTCCACTATGGCCAAGACCAAAGAGCTGTCAAAGGACACCAGAAACAAAATTGTAGACCTGCACCAGGCTGGGAAGACTGAATCTGCAACAGGTAAGCAGCTTGGTTTGAAGAAATCAACTGTGGGAGCAATTATTAGGAAATGGAAGACATACAAGACCACTGATAATCTCCCTCGATCTGGGGCTCCACGCAAGATCTCACCCCGTGGGGTCAAAATGATCAGAAGAACGGTGAGCAAAAATCCCATAACCACACGGGGGGACCTAGTGAATGACCTGCAGAGAGCTGGGACCAAAGTAACAAAGTCTACCATCAGTAACACACTACGCCGCCAGGGACTCAAATCCTGCAGTGCAAGACGTGTCCCCCTGCTTAAGCCAGTACATGTCCAGGCCCGTCTGAAGTTTGCTAGAGTGCATTTGGATGATCCAGAAGAGGATTGGGAGAATGTCATATGGTCAGATGAAACCAAAATAGAACTTTTTGGTAAAAACTCAACTCGTCGTGTTTGGAGGACAAAGAATGCTGAGTTGCATCCAAAGAACACCATACCTACTGTGAAGCATGGGGGTGGAAACCTCATGCTTTGGGGTTGTTGTTCTGCAAAGGGACCAGGACGACTGATCCGTGTAAAGGAAAGAATGAATGGGGCCATGTATCGTGAGATTTTGAGTGAAAACCTCCTTCCATCAGCAAGGGCATTGAAGATGAAATGTGGCTGGGTCTTTCAGCATGACAATGATCCCAAACACACCGCCCGGGCAACGAAGTAGTGGCTTCGTAAGAAGCATTTCAAGGTCCTGGAGTGGCCTAGCCAGTCTCCAGATCTCAACCTCATAGAAAATCTTTGGAGGGAGTTGAAAGTCCGTGTTGCCCAGCGACAGCCCCAAAACATCACTGCTCTAGAGGAGATCTGCATGGAGGAATGGGCCAAAATACCAGCAACAGTGTGTGAAAACCTTGTGAAGACTTACAGAAAACGTTTGACCTGTGTCATTGCCAACAAAGGGTATATAACAAAGTATTGAGAAACTTTTGTTATTGAACAAATACTTATTTTCCACCAAAATTTGCAAATAAATTCATTAACAATCCTACAATTTGATTTTCTGGATTTTTTTTTCTCATTTTGTCTGTCATAGTTGACGTGTACCTATGATGGAAATTACAGGCCTCTCTCATCTTTTTAAGTGGGAGAACTTGCACAATTGGTGGCTGACTAAATACTTCCCCCCCCCCCCCCCACTGTATAGTGCCCATAGGGCTCTGGTGAAAACTAGAGCATGGGACGTAAACAACAACAGTTTCTCCTCGTTTACTCACCAGCAGGTATCATCATCAACAATCACGACTAGTGATGAAGACTGAGAATGTTATCCAATGTAGGCTACTACTGACTACTCACCTCAGCTGTGATCCTAAGACATTCAGTAATGAGTTGTTATAAATCGTTTTCTATCTATCAAATGTCACATATGTTGTTGTTTTTTTGTCCTTTCTTGTCACCGTTGTCTGTCCAAAAACACCTATTGTTTAACACTTTTGCTTGACATTCAACAAGGACACCAACAATGACTTGACACCATTTGTATTTGTTATGGTCTCCAATCCCGGGGTCCAGCAAAATTAAGGCAGTTATACCATTAAAAAAAAAACATTACAATACATTCACAACACATTATAAGTGTTAAGTCCACTAAGCCATTTTTTCATACATCCACCAAAGGTTTGTCATACTTGTATTGTCACTGGTTGGTAACTCTAAAAAAACTAACATAAAAGGTTGATTGCAATTATCCAATGTATTTTTTAAGGCCATATGTTGGAATTTTTGGATGACACTTACTGCAGTGGGCAAAACCAGAGTCACACCGTGTTTCTTGGTAGTCTTAAACATATCAACTTTGAAACAAAAGTACACACCTCACACACATGGTTATGGGCTTAAAAAAGAAGAAGACACCTGTACCATGTCAGATATAGAGTTTAAATGTATTCCATTTTGAGTTTGCATCCCAATATTACACTTTATATACATCACAGAAGTTGAAATATAACAAAACCGTTTGACATAGAAACACCGGATTTCTGGCGTAAAAAAATGTAATAATAATAATGAAAAATATTAACATTCCACCCATGAGGCCACTAGAGGGCGATTTGGACATTTGACTGCAGGAAAGGACTACGTAAAAATAAAAACAACAACAACAAAACTAGAATTTTAATGCAACTTGACGAAGCCTACCCTACCTGAGCCAACTCTGAACAAGATTATGAACTGTTACTGGTCACTCTCACTAAGGTGTGAATGGCCTGAATGACCTTCTCCACTACACATATGGCATTTAAAATCAACCTTGAACCTTGCATTATCTTAGGTAAATTGTAAATGATATTCTGTCATGTTATGTGTATTGTTATTGATGTTATTTAAACACGTTTGATTATAAGTAATATATTTAAAATGTTAAAATGTTACGCTAGTGCTCCTATGTTGTTATAAATTATTCAACATTACAAACAATTAAATATTCCGTTTATTACGTTGTTTTTCAATGTTGTTGATGTGAAGAAAAAACATATAATGAAAATAATAAAAGAGAACTCATGGATGCAATGTTGTAATTGCAAAACCCAAAACAGGAGTGGCTCCTAACCTTTCCTCCTATGTTACTTCAGTCAGAATGTATAGTATTTATTAACTTACTGTATTGTATTTTACATCTTTATAGGAATAAATTATTCAACATTACAAACAATTAAATATTCTGTTTATTATCTGAATTGACTGCTCAAGCTTCTATTTTAAGTAGACCTATTGCAAAAGATTGGTTAAGGATTTCCTTATGTGCTTTTGCAGTGACGTAAGGCAACAGGCTAATCTGAGCAGGGTCCCAGTGTTACACGTTTAAATGTCCACTCTCTTCATCACCATCAACGCCAGTCCACCACTCATGTCCTGTTTAACCTCCAGATGAGACAGACAATGATTTTAACACACAGAGGGAATCTGCACTGCATATTAAACACTGTGCAGGAGAGAGGACAATTTATGATCGTGGCTTTCAAATATGAATTACAGAGGCAGGTTTACTGATAAGTCAAATAATTAAGTTAATGAAGTTAAAAATAAAAAAATCTCCTTATGGTGATGTCAGCAAGCCCATTTAATTTGTGGAAAAGTAAATTATGATTACCTCAGACTAAATGGAACTTTACTGGGAGCAGTGTAAGGGGCAGTGATTAAATATGACTCCAAAAGGGGCTGTTGTATATCTCCACGACTCCACCACAAGGTCTCCACCACAGAAGTAGAATGAGATTATATTTCTATTGGTCGACACTCTCCAAGAACATGGTTATCTTGTGATTTAATGCTTTTTTGATCTTTCATCGCATATTGAGGAAATTAATAGTAAAATGTCAATGTTTTTTTCCTCATACATAAGGAAAATTCACAGGCACATATTTTTCATTTGCAACTATAAGTCTGTGTCTGTATGAAGACTTGCAAGGCCTATGTACCAGAAATTCTTTGTGATCCCCAACAGAAAAGCTTCAAAGAATTACTAACGCGTGTCGGCAAACGAATGACAAATGTCCCTCTCAGGTTGCCGTTGTTGCTATGGAGACAGAAAATATTATATCCTGCTATGGAAACGAGCATGAATGACTACCCTTGGCAATGGATAAATAGTGAATTAAATGTTTAAATGTATGTTTATTGTGGTGCGACTCTTACTTGCTAGCTAACGTCATTACCTAGCTAGCTTACGTAATCTAGCTAGCTAGCTAGCAATAGCACATCTAACGTCATAACCACTCTAGATTTAATGTGCTGCTATTCGTCTGACAAACTTGTGGGAAAATATACAAATAGTATTGGCTTGAGTGTTTGCAAACAAAACGATACGTTTTACAACGCGCCCTTTCAATTGGTTGGTTTTGTAATCTCAGCAGCATGACCCAGTAAAATACACCTTTATGTTTGACCAATCAGCAAATTGCAGTCTTTACCGAAATATGGACTGATTGCATAAGTAATCACTCCTACTGCTTATTCCCCCTCATGCCTACTTGCCAGGTCACATCACTTAAGTTAATAGGAACTGGAAGGCAAGGGAATGAATGGCAGGCGTCATAAATCCACTGGCAGTTTTCTTTCTACCATGTTAAGGGAGAAAGATATCTTCTTTTTTTGTACTGTGGTTTCAAATAGGCTGACATGGCAGATGACATCACATCTGAATGGGTACGGGGAATTTATAGTGAACACTTATACACCGAGTGTACAAAACATTAAGAACACCTGCTCTTTCCATGACATTGACGGACCAGGTGAATCCAGGTGAAAGCTGTGATCCATTGTTGATGTCACTTGTTAAATCCACTTCAAATCAGTGTAGATGAAGGGGAGGAGACAGGTTAAATAAGGATTTTTTAAGCCTTGAGACAATTGAGACATGGATTGTGTATTTGTGCCATTCAGAGGGTGAATGGGCAAGACAAAATATTGAAGTGCCTTTGAACAGGGTATGGTAGTAGGTGCCAAGCGCACCGGTTTGAGTTTGTCA